AATATCACTGTGATATACCTAACAGGTCACCACACACAAATATCCCTGTGATATACCTAACAGGTCACCACACACAAATATCCCTGTGATATACCTAACAGGTCACCACACACAAATATCCCTGTGATATACCTAACAGGTCACCACAACTGGGGAACTATCCCTGTGATATACCTAACAGGTCACCACAACTGGGGAACTATCACTGTGATATACCTAACAGGTCACCACAACTGGGGAACTATTCCTGTGATATACCTAACAGGTCACCACAACTGGGGAACTATCCCTGTGATATACCTAACAGGTCACCACACACAAATATCCCTGTGATATATTTGACAGATCACCACACACATAACAGGTCACCACACACAAATATCCCTGTGATATATTTGACAGATCACCACACACAAATATCCCTGTGATATACCTAACAGGTCACCACACACAAATATCCCTGTGATATACCTAACAGGTCACCACACCTAACAGGTCACCACACACAAATATCCCTGTGATATACCTAACAGGTCACCACACACAAATATCCCTGTGATATACCTAACAGGTCACCACACACAAATATCCCTGTGATATACCTAACAGGTCACCACACACAAATATCCCTGTGATATACCTAACAGGTCACCACACACAAATATCCCTGTGATATACCTAACAGGTCACCACACACAAATATCCCTGTGATATACCTAACAGGTCACCACACACAAATATCCCTGTGATATACCTAACAGGTCACCACACACAAATATTACTGTGGTATGGTTTACCTAACAGGTCACCACACACAAATATCCCTGTGATATACCTAACAGGTCACCACACACAAATATTACTGTGATATACTTAACAGGTCACCACACACAAATATCCCTGTGATATACCTAACAGGTCACCACACACAAATATCCCTGTGATATACCTAACAGGTCACCACACACAAATATCCCTGTGATATACCTAACAGGTCACCACACACAAATATCCCTGTGATATACCTAACAGGTCACCACACACAAATATCACTGTGATATACCTAACAGGTCACCACACACAAATATCCATGTGATATACCTAACAGGTCACCACACACAAATATCCCTGTGATATACCTAACAGGTCACCACACACAAATATCCCTGTGATATACCTAACAGGTCACCGCACCTAACAGGTCACCACACACAAATATCCCTGTGATATACCTAACAGGTCACCACACACAAATATCCCTGTGATATACCTAACAGGTCACCACACACAAATATCCCTGTGATATACCTAACAGGTCACCACACACAAATATCCCTGTGATATACCTAACAGGTCACCACACCTAACAGGTCACCACACACAAATATCCCTGTGATATACCTAACAGGTCACCACACACAAATATCCCTGTGATATACCTAACAGGTCACCACACACAAATATCCCTGTGATATACCTAACAGGTCACCACACACAAATATCCCTGTGATATACCTAACAGGTCACCACACACAAATATCACTGTGATATGGTTTACCTAACAGGTCACCACACACAAATATCACTGTGATATACCTAACAGGTCACCACACACAAATATCCCTGTGATATACCTAACAGGTCACCACACACAAATATCCCTGTGATATACCTAACAGGTCACCACACACAAATATCCCTGTCAGGTCACCACACACAAATATCCCTGTGATATACCTAACAGGTCACCACACACAAATATCACTGTGGTATGTTTTACCTAACAGGTCACCACACACAAATATCACTGTGATATACTTAACAGGTCACCGCACCTAACAGGTCACCACACACAAATATCCCTGTGATATACCTAACAGGTCACCGCACCTAACAGGTCACCACACACAAATATCCCTGTGATATACCTAACAGGTCACCACACACAAATATCCCTGTGATATACCTAACAGGTCACCACACACAAATATCCCTGTGATATACCTAACAGGTCACCACACACAAATATCCCTGTGATATACCTAACAGGTCACCACACACAAATATTACTGTGACATGGTTTACCTAACAGGTCACCACACATAAATATCCCTGTGATATACCTAACAGGTCACCACACCTAACAGGTCACCACAACTGGGGAACTATCACTGTGATATACCTAACAGGTCACCACAACTGGGGAACTATTCCTGTGATATACCTAACAGGTCACCACCACAAATATCCTGTCTATATTTGTACAGTTGTCACCACACACAAGTTATGTACTTTGTGATATACCTAACAGGTCACCACACCTAACAGATCACCACACACAAATATCCATGTGATATACCTAACAGGTCACCACACACAAATTTGTTGAAGACTTGTGTGATAAGATATTACAAAAATTACTGCAAACCATTACCATACTTGCAACTATCTTCAACTTTCTGGTATACAAAGGCAGAAATGAACCCAGGACTTCAGGTGTTAAGCCTAATTTGTTCCAAATGAAAAATCTCATCTTATTGTTTTTAAATACGTGCATTTATACACTGTAAGTGACATGGATTTTAACGGTGACTTTCTTTGAGTTCCAGGCTGGGATATGACCAATGTACTTGAGACCAGTACTTTTTAGAACTCAGATATTTGAGTGTTGAACTCCTGATCTTCCTGTGGGACCCACTATACCTCTTTTAAATGGAAGTTGTTAATTGTGTGTAACAAGAGTAATATGTGAATACATGAGACAAAGTAATACACAAATAGAAAATGATGATAACCATGTAGATAATGTGAAAATCAAGAATCCAGTCTCAGTACCTACATGATACATACATATATATAATACATTACATGTTGGCGGCCGTCCCAAAACCAAATTTGGTAGTAATGTATAACTGATTATGTCCCTGGGTCAAATTTTTTACAAATTTCACATAAACAACAGAATGACATTTTAACAAATTGAAATTTCCTGATCTGGATATAAGGAGATATCTTATCACAAGTATTAATCTTAATGTCAAATTTCAAATATGTGCTTGGTGATTATCAGTGAAAAAGATTCATAAAGCTATGTATACCATGTAACAAATTACCTGTAATATGTACCATCACTTACTGTAATATGTACCACTGTAATATGTACCATCACTTACTGTAATATGTACCATCACTTACTGTAATATGTACCACTGTAATATGTACCATCACTTACTGTAATATGTACCACTGTAATATATACCATAAGTTACTGTAATATGTACCACTGTAATATGTACCATCACTTACTGTAATATGTACCATCACTTACTGTAGTATGTACCATCACTTACTGTAATATGTACCATCACTTACTGTAATATGTACCATCACTTACTGTAGTATGTACCATCACTTACTGTAATATGTACCATCACTTACTGTAATATGTACCATCACTTACTGTAGTATGTACCATCACTTACTGTAATATGTACCATCACTTACTGTAATATGTACCATCACTTACTATAATATGTACCATCGCTTAATCCATTCAATCTATTGTAATAGTTGAGATATACTGTGAGTATTGGAGTGTCGGATTGGTAGGAAGTGTGCTGACATGACAACAGTTTTTATTGTAGTATCACAGATGATAATTACAAATGTCTTATTATTTCACACATCAAATTTTCCGTCACGTTTCTGTCCTACATAAAAACAAATATATACTATCACCATGAAATAACAGGCTATACAGTGATAATTATATACTGTAGTTAAACACTTTGAATCTGTTTACTTTATGTCCCAAAAATACTCCTTTACTTTGTCCATTTTCCTTGATTATCCCTTCAGTAACGTATACATACACATCCCCAGCGTAAGGTAGCTCAGAAGGATGTCTTCATTGATGTTCCATAGGACAGAAAGAGGTTTCACAATGACAGATATCTGAAATTCCCTACATGTACACCTTTTTGTTGTTTCCTTAACTTTCAGTATTGTACTTATATATATGTGATACTGACATATGGTAAGGACATCAGGATTTCTGGTAGCTATATGTCAAGCAGAGAAATAAAGAATAATAATAACAGTATTTCTATTGTACAACACTAAGATTATAACCCTTCCAAATAAATATTGTGGCAACAATAACAACCAGAGCTATTACGACAGGGTGTCCTTCAATCAGAAAATGCTGGCGATTCAGTTCTGGTTGTCATTTTAACACAGATCAAGTCATTTTGATTTTGAATTATTAAGTCATTTCATCTCATTAAAATCAAGTAAATATTATCAAGACAAACTATGAACAAAATGTTATGCAACAATTCTAAAGGTACAAGGTTTGAAAGAAAGTATTAATGTCAAGCATCTTGTCTTGAAACTGGTTTCATAAACAATGGAATTGTCAACGTCAGATCAATTCCCCAATATTTTTATTATGATGATCAACGAATTAGAATTAACTAGATAAAGATTGTCTATAACCTTATCTTGATAAAGATTATCTATACCCTTAACTTGATAAAGATTGTCTATAACCTTATCTTGATAAAGGTTGTCTATACCCTTAACTTGATCAAGGTTGCCTATATACCCTTAACTAGATAAAGGTTATCTATACCCTTAACTTGATCAAGGTTGTCTATACCCTTAACTAGATAAAGATTGTCTATAACCTTAACTTGATAAAGGTTGTCTATACCCTTAACTTGATCAAGTTTGTCTTTACCCTTAACTAGATAAAGATTGTCTATAACCTTAACTTGATAAAGGTTGTCTGCACCCTTAACTAGATAAAGATTGTCTATAACCTTAACTAGATAAAGATTGTATATAACCTTAACTTGATAAAGGTTGCTTATACCCTTTATGCACACTGTTGTCCAAAATCAATTTGAAATATTTCTATCATGTTAACAATCAAGATTTTTCTGACTTTCCCCCTGATACTACAAAATTCTCTTTGTTTAAAAACACATTAAAATTTTTCATATAATTACCTCTCTAGGTTTGATTGTTTTCTTCCCAGGTTTTGCCAAAACAGGTGAAAGACGCCCAGAATAACTTGAAAAGTGTATAGGCGCTTGCTCAATCTGAAACAGACAAATAAATACATGATGTATTTAAACATGTTGATAGTTCAAGAGTTACTTAGTAATCGATAACCTGTTAAATAACTTGTAATTTGCAACTGCATTTTTATACATTCATGTACATCTGTACATAGTAAGCATACATCAATATATTTATCATTTTGTAACATTTCTCAGAGGATATTAATGTTTTGAATGGTAAAATCCTGAAAGAATCACATTGCTAACACTTCACCTAAATCATCAACTGAAAGTATCAGAGGCAGCAGTGTTTCTCGATGTGGCCATGGGTGATATGTTTGTTCATTAGATTACCCCATTATAAAGCTTTTAATTAAAATTTAAAAAAATAAATTCTTGCTTAAATTGGTCATGTCATTTTGAAGTGGACAATATGCGGTATCAATTTCTTCAGAAAAATATTGTAGCTTTTGATAGAGAATACTTCTTGGGCAGTCTCGAATCAGTGTTTATAAAAATAAAAACTAGCTTTACAAAAAGGAAAATTTTCATAATGTTTACACAAGGTCATGTTGTAAAGCATTTCTGAGTTGGAATTTGCTGAAATGTAAGTAGTTTGTTACTATTACAGTGTTGTTGATTTTAAGACAGGTGTTCAGAAATAAATTTCTTATCAAAAGTTGTAGTGTTAGGGTGGAATTCGCAGTATTTTTTAAAATTTTTAGCAATTTTTGAATTGGTAACCATGACAATCATATGTCAGAAATCAGAGGAAATTTTTGATTTACACAAATTTTAAGTCTCTGTTATTAATGTAATTGTTATGTAGTTTATAAATATATACATGTAAGAATGTATTTTTCTTAACCAAACTGCTATACATGTATATCTGTATATCTCAAACATGATAAATGATTCAGGAAAAAAGCAAAGTAACTGTTTCCTGCTACCAGAGGTCAGATTCTGTTATTATAACACACATGAGACTAAGGCAAATGGCTGATATTGATAGCCTGATGGCACTGTTGAAAGTCCATTATCCTCAATAAAACTCCACATTAATCATCCCTTACAATTTAAATGATGCACAATGACAATTATATGGAGTTTTCATACAGTAGTGATAATACTGGGTATTAAACAAATTGAGCACAGGTATGTGTTCTGGTGTTGCAGTGTTTACACACACCTGCATAGCACCAACATCATGAAGATACCCAAGGTTTGATTCCCCAACAGACAAGAGAAGGTATGGAGTCATCTCACTAAACACACTGGGTTTTTCTTGGGTACTCTGTTTCTCCCTCAGTACAACCTCTTGCACACAATTTAATTTGTTATAAAATTCTTGAAAAATAAATCAATTTCATATTCAAGAAGGGTTATTACTGGTTTTACTGTTATTGGTCATGAATTGTATTGTAAAGTAAAATGCACATATAGTTTCTACTGTTAATGCATATAGGATACTTGCACATATCTGCGTGAATTTAGTTGTAAATACTTACATGCTTTTTTTGTCTTTCCAAATGCTGTTGCTGTCTGGACATAAAATCTGTACCTAGACTTTCAACAATTTTTACACTAGCACTACTGACTTTTGGACGGAACGTAAAGATGCTGTCGTCTAATAAAACATTCGCTTTTGTGGCCATAGTCCCGGTACGAAGAGCATACCCGCCCTTTTTATCTTTCGGAAATTTTATGCAATTCTCTGATAATTTAGGAGAGCTTAAATCGGTATCTGAAATTAACTCATCCTTCGATTCCCGATCAGATTCGTTGGCTTCATCACAAATCGTCGGTATCTTCTGCTTGTCAGAGTTAGAGGGGATGGGTGCAAGCGGCTCTCTGCATTTGATATTCAACATAAAATGTGGCACCCCTCCATCTAAACTTTGCAAACGTCGAGCTGCAATACGTTTGCTTGCTTCACTTATCTGAGGGGCAAACGTATGGTTATCATGGACATCGTTTCTCTTCCTCCCCATTTGATCATGTTGGTGCTGAAATGTAATCCATGACGCATGTTGCAATATGAAGAATTACAATTTTCTTCTCTTGCTGGCGCGTACCCCGTCGCTATGGAGCAGCCATATTGTTTTCACTGACTCCGCAATACTCTCAAATATCCTGTCATTAAACATATGCTATTCTCCCAAAAGAACACCATAAGTTTGATTATATAGCATATTCACAAAAAAGGATAATTTTGATGCAAATTTAAGTTAAATTAAGTATGAATTTTTAAAAACAAGATAGATCGATCATATTGTACTCTCTAAATTCAGGTCGATATAAATTTCAAACTTGACCGTCTTTTTGTCTGTGTGCGTTATCAATATTATTATTAGAGTTGTTTCCCTTGAATAACCAATCTTGATCGCACATTACTTGATCAAACATGTTATTTAAGTCATTTAAGCATGAAACAAAAATCATTTATCATTTTATTTGTTCACTAATAAATTCATGATAGTAAGATAATATTTACTTTCGATAAACTTATCAACTTAAAGCCTAAATATCAATTAATTGCACAAATAACGACAATATTATCAATAAACTGACATTTAATTATTAATTACAGTTAGATTTCTAGCAGAACATTCACAATATTTTTAATAAATTAAGGTTTCAAAAATAAAAGAATTAAAACATAACAATGTTGTAAAGCATTTCAAAGTGTAGATAAAATATCGATGAAAATTGGTTTATATTAAAGTTAAATTCAAGTCACGTTTCTGAAATACACACACAACAGACTGAACTTTCCATCAATTGCCCGTTATATATATATATATATTGTGGGAAATTCGTGTCAATTCCATATGTTACAAAGTTCCAAATTTCTTGCACAATAAAATTGATGAATAAAACCACTAGTTTTAAGTAAAAGCAGGTATTAAAATGAAAAGGAAAATATGCAGTATACTCTCTGAACTACTTTGAAACACAAATGAAGGATATGCATACGGCAAACTGCTAAGTATATAAAACCACATATGCTTTGTCACGAGTTGTCCTCGTATGGACAAATACGCGACGAGAATCTAAAACGAATGGGTGTGTTCCGTTTTATATGTGTTTCCGTTTTGCATTTTGTATGTACCGTGTCGATTAATACTATTCTGACATTTGACATGTGATCTAGGTTGCACATGATCCACACTTCTTACCGGTGTTTGTTCCACCACTGACTTTATACGATGGCTGTGTGCTGCTCTCACATTCGTAACGAATTCAAGTGGAAGAAGTTTTGGCTAAGTGATGTTCATCCATCCAGATTTGCAATGTTTCAGGTAATAATTTACATCACACGATGTGGATCAAAGATTCGAATCAGGAATAATAAGCGATTTCGTGTTGTTTACCTGTTTATTGGGAAACGTTCCTCTGAAGTAGACTTTATAATGCACAGGTACTTGGTTTCAGTAAGAAAGTGTGTTTTGATAGGCAGAGCTTGGACATTGCACTACCTTTTGTTAATAAGGCAAATTAATTTAGTTGGACTAGTAAGATCATTTGTTTATCTTTATGAGTCAATGTTGGGATTGTTGTACCAAGCCCTTCTTAGACCACACCTAGTGTATGCAGAAAGTGTATGGAGTCCATCTAGAGCTGCAGATATTGAACTGATCGAGAAGGTACACAGGAGGGCTACCAAGCTAATCCCTGGACTTAAGAACTTATAGTACGAAGAACGCTTGAGGAGATTAAATCTCCCAACACTTCTCAACAACTCAGAATCAGAGGAGATATCATAAATGTTTTTAAAATAGTAAAACATATTTATGATTATAGAGCGAAAAGCTTTTTTCAAATGGGCACTTCAAGTCAAACAAGGGGTCATTCAGAAAAGATTCAAAAAAGAATTTCTTAAGTCATAGAATAGTAGATATATGGAATAATTTACCACAACATATCATCGATGCAGATAATGTTTACCATTTCAAAGTATTGCTTGATGAAGATTAGTTGATATAGATATAGAGGCTTTCAGTCTGGGTCCTTTTATCTTCCTTATAAAATCCTAATAAAAAAAAAATCCTGAAACGCTTGATCAAAAGGAATGAATTGTGACATTAACCTCAGTGGGCATTGACAGACTTCACGTCCAGGAATGCTTACTGTATGTAGTATACTTGTTTAGTTGGTAATATAAGGGAAGCCACAGATTTTGGTCGGTCTTTGGTGTTTATTCCCACACTCGAAACTGGTAATGTATAGTCCATTCAAACTGCAGTAATGATGTGATGATGATATTAAGATGTAAGACTGAAGGAAAGAGTACATATGTTCTAATGTATACATATAAAAATGAGATCTCTCTTACTTGTTAACAAAAGTTAGTATAAGTTGACATAACTTGTTTCGCAATGGTTGTAAAATAAATAAAGTTTATATTTATTTATATTTGTTTATATTTGTTTATATTTGTTTATATTTGTTTATATTTTAACAAAAGTTTCTTACACAGGAAGCAGACTAACAGACAAGTATATTTGACAGATATTCATATTGATGTATCATAATTATCATCTCTGCTGCTTTCAAAGTAATTAATTAAAAAGTTTGAGCATTCAAAACTGATTTCTTAAGTGACATTTAGCCATTAAATAATTTTTGTATAAATCCCTTTGGATCTAACTCAATCTGTTCAGGGTATGTGTTTTTCTTGTATTTTATAGTGGCGCCTGCCTCCAATCGCCTACATCCTATATAGACTGGTCATTGCAGCCTATGCAGACTTCTGGTTGATCTACACTGCCGTGGACTTTGCCTCCGTGGAAACGGGAGACGGGGTATATGCCTGGCCAGTATATCTTACTAACTGGACGTACACAATGCTATGCTTGTACCTCACACTGCATGCACTGACCTCGGTCATCTTCTTGTGCACAAGACCTGTCGTACTTTGGAGGAGGATCTCAGTAACGGAACATCGAGCTTTGTTTAAGGAACTAGAGGTATATCCAAGTCTCTGGGGCGACTCTTATGAGCAGATACCAAGTCATGATAATGAGGAAAGGGAGCTAATGTATGGAGAAACATCTACAAGAACCAATCTCATGCCTATGTACTTCAAATTGGTTTGGATCCTCTTGAATATTATGTCTTCATGCTCAATAATGGTCACTTTGATATTTTTTATCTTTCTGTGGCCCCAAATGGACACTGATAATCAACCCATAGATTTGGACAATCTGCAGCTACATGGCATTAACTCAGTAATTGTGTTTCTGGAGTGCCTTTTGACTGCAGCTCCTGTACACTTACTACACTATGTTTATCCCTTAATTTATGGTATAGTGTACCTTCTCTTCACTGCTATCTTTTATGGTGCTGGAAACAAGCACCCTATTTATCCTGATGTTTTGGACTGGAATTCGGACAAACTTGGACAGACAATGATCATGGTAGTGGTGGTAGGTTTTGTGATATTACCTCTACTACAGGTATTTTTCTTTATCATCTATAAATTGAAGATATGGGTGTTTAATTGTGTATCATCCATAGAAGCATCAGGTGATTAATGCTGACTAGGATGCTTGTAGTGTTTAAGCTGTCTTCAGAACTATTGAAAGTTGTAGGTATTTCAGTCCTTAGTACATGTGTCCAGGGGACCTAATTACCATTTCTTGTACTCAAAACACAGTACATCATAAATAAGTAGCTATATAGGTATAGAATTGTGTATAAAACACACTGTATTGCAGTACATCTGTTATGTATTAGAAAAGTCTTGGTGGAAATTTAAAGAAATTTAATATACATTTTTTAAGGATCCTGAAGCACACTATACCAGTTTGAGAAAAAAAATTAGGTACTTCACAAATTTTTGTAATTCTATTTGAGTTGCATTGATCTCCCTTTATTACAATGTCATCATTTCCAGGGAACATTTGATTCTGGAGTAGGTTTTAATCCCAAAGTAAGTTTTAACACTTTTTAGAATGGACATATCTATTCAGAGACCTGTATAAGAATCTTATATAGTTCTCTGATCTGTTGTAATCCCAAAGTAAGTTTTAACACTTTTTAGAATGGACATATCTATTCAGAGACCTGTATAAGAATCTTATATAGTTCTCTGATCTGTTGTAATCCCAAAGTAAGTTTTAACACTTTTTAGAATGGACATATCTATTCAGAGACCTGTATATGTGAACCTTTCATAGTTCTCTAATTGTTTTGATTTGATTTTACCTGAAGATTTTGGATAATCAGATAATGTTACTGTACAGTAAGAGATAAAACTGGAAAGCCCTTCATATCTATGTCGTGATAATGTGTTGTTTATGTGTGAAGTTTTTATAGCAACACTAATTCAATAATATTTTAAGGTATTTATTTCATCAATATTGTAATATTTCTGTTGATCAGAGTGTAAAGTAGTGGTTAATCATAATTACCTTACAAAATTTGGGAATAATTGATTTACAAATTAGCTTTTTTTAAATTTTCTCTTATTATGTACATGTTGTTGTATTAAAATGCTTTGCCAGCATAATTTTTTGTAGCTTTAATTAGAGACATAATTAGTGTAATGTTCTAGATCATAAATCCAGCTATTATACAAATATCATATGAAATCCTTTCATTTATTGTGATGAAACAGTTTTTGTGCTTTTTTATATAAAAAAAACAGTGTCTCCAACCTCTAGTCGTCTGATATGTGGTCATAGCCTTCAAAAGTCTTAGTAACAGAACGTTCTAACAGGGTCACCAACCACAGAAAATTTTCAACATTGTTACTAACTCTATTGTATAGTTATCAGATTTATATGTTTTTGATTGTGTTTTTAGTTATGTTTAAACGGTTTTTTTTTTTTGTTTTTTTTTTCCTAATTAGGTCTCAAAATTGATTTTCAAGTTTTTAACTGATCAGAAAAAAAGAAATATTGAGTGATATTAGCATTTTTCACGATTTATGCAGGTCATGGTATAGCAAAGATCAGGTTGATCCAATAAAAAAAGGGGAGTTGGTGACAACATCAATATAACATACATCCATCGACCAAAACTATCTATAATTAGTCAGCATGGGTTACGGGTATATACGGTAGATCTTTTTTATACTTTTATATTCATTGAAATATCTATACTTTGTAACAGAGCTGGATGTGTAGTTGTATATCACAAGGAACATTTGTTGTAGTTTGAATCATCTGACTACAACTCGGGGATTAAGAATTTATGAAACATTTTGTAAAATATCACAAATGCTCAATTTAAAAATCAGCTCCAGTTAAGAGCAATTTTTTATATCACATATACAAATATAATTGATATAAATATGAAATATGATGAGTCACAAGGATTTAGCATAAATTCTCAACCCATGGATCATATATATGTATTATATAGAACATACATTTGGTCTGTGGATGAGTAATTTGGGCTAAGTCCCTCTGTGATAAATGACTGTTATTTTACTCACTCAATTTCTATAGTATAAACCTGATACATAATTGTAAAGGCTGTGATGGAGGACCACATCTTATTATGTCTCATTATGTGTTTATTCAGTCAGAGCTTTTTTTCTACCAATTTTGGATTGCACATTTTCGCATCATTTTGGGAAGAAAATTGATAAATTGAGGTGGTAATATTTAATGACAGATTTTGGGAATTTTCGCTGAAATATGAAATGATTTCAATTGGTAATGGGGCCCATTATCAGACCAAAACCCCTCTGAAAATATACCCGGGCAGTAATGTTCACCTGTAACACTGAAATACATTCCAGTAGAGCACATATCAAATTCTATGTACACAGTATATTTCCTCTGATCCTTTCCAATGCATGTAATCAATCCTACTTTGTTGAGATCCACTGACTTACAATGAACAATATTGTCATTATAACATGTACTTATCACACCATATCTTTTGATGTGGGTTTTTTTTGTACAGATTCAAAGTCTGAGCTGTGGTACAGACTCATTATCTGAGCTGTGGTACAGACACAATATCTGAGCTGAGGTACAGACTCAATATCTGAGCTGTGGTACAGACACAATATCTGAGCTGAGGTACAGACTCAATATCTGAGCTGTGGTACAGACTTATTATCTGAGCTGTGGTACAGACACAATATCTGAGCTGAGGTACAGAATCAATATCTGAGCTGAGGTACAGACTCAATATCTGAGCTGTGGTACAGACACAATATCTGAGCTGTGGTACAGACTCAGGATTTGAACTGATGCTTTTTCTGAATCATGGGCCTATTGCAAAAATAGAAAAAGTTAGTCTATACACGGATGATGTACCATAATTCAACTATTTGATATTGTTTGATTGAGATGTTTTTATTCAGCATTTTGACTATATCATAGATATATTATTCATTGAAGAACTGATGTAGATTCATACAGAATACAAATTAATAATTAAATGATTTTTTTATCATTGATACATAAATGTGGGGTTTTAGTTATGTTTTCCCGATCAAGCCAGGAGTCCAATTTATAGTTTATATCACAATCTGTTTTCAAACCATTTTACTGGATGAAATATTGTTTACAGGACAATATTTCCATTTCGAGTTTGTTCGGCCTTCTTGAATGCAGTAGAGACAAGGATAACTTCCCACTCTCAAAATATACCTGGTTGTAAGCAGTGAAATCAGATACTCTAATCTTAAATGATAGAAATGAAATTGATGAAACATTTCAACTGAATTGTAATATATGATGTATACTGTTATAACTTACTGACTTACTGGGTAGTGACTTTTCAGGTCACCCGAGACAAAATCTCATGGTGACCTATTCTAATACCCTTCATCCGGCGCTGTGCGTTCGTAAACAATTTAACACTTTCGACTTCTTCTCAAAAACCCCTGACCCAATTTTCATAGAAAAATTGGATTGTTTTTAGCATATTTTTATAAGAATTATCAGTATAGGATGACAGTTTTAATGGTATGCATGTATTGACACTGGGTTAATATAGTCATTGTCACAATTTCTGTTTCATAACACTTGATAACTATCCTTTTACTTTTATATTCAATATTGTTTATCTCAGGTGACTGTCAAGACTGCTAGGCCACTTGTTTCAGATAAATATGGTACAATTACATTGTACAAAAATATGGATATATTTGAAATCATTTACCTGTTTTCTGTTTTGATTTCCATTCAGTGCTTTGTTTAATTAAATGAAGATCTTTGAAGGAGTAGCTATTGGATTTTAAATATATTGGCATAATATTATTATAGTTGTTTTTATGATAAAATTTGACTTTTTGCATCATTTATTAATGACCCATTTCATAAAAAAGGAAAATGAATGTTAAATTAATATTTTCTCATTTTTATATGGTATATATCATTTCCTATTTTACAAGGTGATTTTGCTATTTTGTATCAGAATTTTGATTGCTGTATCTGTTAAATTCACTGTTCACTTGCTAACTGGTATTTATTCTATAACTTCCTAAGACAACATTCCTCAGAAATACTTGTTGATATATAAGGAGTTTTTTAATCTTGATTTAAGAGGTACATTTCCCCAAACTGATACATTCTGTATGTATGTTGATTATACATGTCTAGAACAGTATGTTTTGACCTTCACCTTTCCATAATTAACTACAACAACCAGACTACAGAATCTGTGCCAGACCATTTACAAGTACTTAGGTAAATGTGAAATATGAATATTTTTTATTGTCATTTATATCACATTATGTAATACCACTCATGTTCTAAAACATTAGTTTATTCTATATGGGTATAAACTTTTGAATAACGTATACTTTTTCAATCATGAGAAAGTAGAAGTTCTTCTATTTATTTAAATGTGTTATATAATTGTACTATATATTTTGTTGAAGTTTGACTGTATTCAGTAAATACAATATTCTGCCAAGAAAAAAAGTGTTATATTTTATCTGCTAATTAACCATAATTAAAATGGTGTTTTACAGTGAGACTGTGAGATACATTTATGATAATGACACATTAAACCTGCTGTACACAGCATGCATTGTGTACAGCTACATGTACAAACAAGACACTGCATTACAAAGTGGATCTACACACAAAAACAACCCTGTTTATGATGGAGTATTAGTTCTTCAGTTTATCTGTAAGGTATTCATGCATTATTTGACTTTTTAAGTTCCTGAATCATCATAAGCCGGACTCCGGACAAATGTAGCATGAAAACCAAACCTCGCTTTGACACTCAATCCAAGGCCAAAAAAATGGCAATGACAAAACGACACCAAGGAAGGAGAGAAGACGTACAATCCTAGTCGTCTTTATCAGTCGTACAATTATGCTACAACGATTTAAATTTTCTGATGGCGCCACCTTAGTTTCAACACCAAAATTTATTGTTTGGCTCTACTCTAATTAATTCAAAATTTGAATTGAAAGGTGCTATTTACAGGTGTGTGTTTTGTACAATCCCACGTCCTCGTCTGCAGGGATATCCAGCTGTATTGTTGGGTCTCTTGGTGACATTAAGAGTTTGTTCCATTCTGTTGGCTAGGAGGAGGCTGAGTATGGATACGTGTACTGGAACTGTCAAATGAGGACAAAGCGGCAATGTTTTAACTGATTAAATCAGTCATGGAGTTAATATTGAATGAATGGGAAAAGATAGAATTTTATTTTTGCGCCATCTATTAAATGTCAAATAAGCACAGTGACTTGAAGATGCTCGTTTGCCAGATAAACTTCGCTGATAATACATTATAGTCAACGTTGGTTGATAACGGCTATTTGCTGTACTACATGTAGATCTGTTTCTGAAGTTATGGACAATAGACCTTATACTTCTAACACTTGCGGGTTAAACCGTATGTGTTCCGTTAAATCACGCCGATTATAGCTTGTTAAAGATATTCATTCACCTCTGTTTTCATTTACATGTAAAATGATTACCCAGAGACGAAACATGAAAACCCAACATCACGGGAAGTCTCAATTTCAGACATCTGTGGATACATCGAACTCACAGCCCCTTATTCTATACACTTGTTACATCAAACTCCCAGCCCCTTATTCTATACACTTGTTACAACAAACTCCCAGC